AGCGAGCTACTTTAATATTACCACATTATTAGATATTAAGCCCATTTAAATTGTATTAATAAAAATTTTATTATAAATATTTTTTTAAATTATGTTTGAATTCACTATTTTATGGTTTGTATAAAAATTATTTTAAATAGTATTAATATATATTTTATTATAAATATTTTTAATTATATTCAAATTTTATTTTGTACGGTTTGTATACAAATTATTTATTTGTAATGCTTAATTAATATAAATTTAAATATGGCTTTATTTAGGTTGTTGCGGCTGTTGACAGTCAATGGATCATCATTTATACCACAACAAATCCAAAATAATTCTAGCAACATGCCTTATTGGTATCATAGTGTAAATACTTTAAAAACTTTTTGAAAACAAGTTTAAATTATCCGACATTTTACTCTATTTGAAATTTAAAATTATATTTTTAAAATATATTAATAAACATTTATTATTTATTTTTTCCATATGTTAAAAATTAATGAATGATTTTTTTTTTATTGATTTTCCTGTACGGGTGTTTTTTAAACATATAACAAATACCCGTGTACATTTTTTCATTATTATTTTCCTTATGTTAAACTAAAATTCTTTTTGAAATCACAATTTAATGCAAGTGTGAGCGTCCTGGTCCGGTTTGGGGTAGATCGATTCTTCTCCTCGCCGGTAGAATGCCGGAAACCTGCAAATAACTCTCACACTGGGGGTTGTGTCCGGTGAAGAGCCTCCGATGCTTAAGTCAGTATGTGTATGAGTATACTGAAGTGAATAATAGAGAAAATCGTGTTAAGGGAGAAAGGCTCACCCCTTTATATAGGGGTGAGATACCTGCCCTAATAGCTGCCCAGATAATGGTGAGTTGGCTGCCCAAGCTGCCCGTCCGTACTCTGACACGCCGCGCACATGTCAGAGGTGGCGCGGGGCGTTGGGAGCTGTCAGAGGTGGTTATCGCTATCAACCAATATATTCTCGACACGTGTCCTCCTGCACATGGGGTAAATATTCTCCTTAAATTCGATTGGAGACTCTTACACGCGCCTGTGACTAGGCCGATCCATTAGAGTGTCAGGTCTGCGAGGTGATCGACCTGCTGAGGTCGACTGAGTTGCTCGATCACTCATCTGGTCGAGTGATGGTTTGGTCGACTACTTGACTGGTCGACAGGTTAACTGCTCGATCTTCCCGCCACTTGGTTCGGTTCCTTCATGATATGACCTCCCCGTCCGGTTCAGCAGACCGGTTTAGCCATATAGGTATAATATCTTATATCACAATTAATTTTTCCTCAAACATTTAAAATTTCAATACGTTTATTGGTTTCTGATGGGATGAAGTAAGTTGAGATTTTCAACCCAATTTCAAATGTTATGCTGTCTAATTTTGTACTTTAAGTATATTGAACATGATTATTATTATCTTATTATTATTATCATTTTCAGAAAATATTTGTTTACATATATTTTGTTGGGTTCAATTTATATTCTTTTTTATTTTAATTTTGGGTGTTATCGTGAAGGATGAAAGAACTGAAGGAGCGAGAGATTACCTTATTCGGCAGGAAGATTGTGTCGTCGGAGAACGGCGGTGAGGATTATCTTTCAAAATTGACGGTGGCGATTGCAACATATATGACGAAGCAAGCGGCGAAGAGAAAGGAGAAAGAAAAAAGTTGATGAAAAGTTGTCGTTGATTGATGATGTAAATTTGGGGGTTATGATTTTTTTTACGCGCGCACACAAAAGAAAAAAAAAAAGAGAAGAAAGAAAAAGTGCTTAGAAGTTGTTTGTGTTTGATGTGTGGATATGATTGTCTGAATATGGATAAGGATTTGAAGATGCTCAAGTAAGTGACTAATTTGGATTTCTTTTTAATGAAAAGTGGACATTTTTTTTAGCTCTGAATCTGCAAATATTTAGATTTTAGTGGAAGGTTTTGCAATCATTAATGGTTAGTTTGGTTTAGAAGTATAAAATATTTATGTTTAATTTGGTTTAGGTTAATTGATATGTTCTTCACTTATGTTTTCTGATTTTCATATTTTGTTTTTTTTCCCAATAATGAGATGTAAAAAATAAATAATTATAATTAAAATAAAGTTTAAAAAAATTAAGTAACATACCCGTCCGTGCATCGCAGGGGATGCACATCCACCCTATATATTATTCTCTAATGCGCTGAGCCTACATGGCTGCTTCTGGTGCTTCGGAATCCTACTTGGCAAAGAATCA